TTCCCGCTGAGCAGGGAGCCCGATGTGGGGCTCGATCCCAGGACCCTGGGATCATAACCTGAGCCGAAGGCAGACGCTTAACGACTGAGCCACCCTGGCGCCCAGCACTCTGTTCTTCTTAACAACACCTGCTCTTAGGAGAAATTAGTTAACCAGAACCTAAGTGACCTGGGGCAAAGAAAATACTCAACTCCAGCTGACTCTAACCTTCCATTCCAGAGAATGGAAATAACCAACTCCAGACCACTTTAGCCATCCTGTCCCATCTAAAAGGGGGAAAAAACCTGAAAAACCCTGTGGCATTCATAGTCCAGAGGCATAGGTTCACTAAAACATTGAGGCTTAACCAGAGGATTACAGAATGCTTTTCCTCCCTACACTACTAAAGGCCAATTTACATCAGTTCCTCTTAACACAACATCATGCCTGCCTATCAAGAAAAATTTACAGGGGTGCCTGGCCGACTGTCAGTAGAGCATGAGACTCTTGATCTCGGTGTTGTAAGTTCGAGTCCCACATTGGGTGTAGAGGTTACTTAAAAATAAAATCTTAAAAAAAAAAAAATTAGAAGGCATACTAAAAAAGGCAAAAAAGCACAATTTGAAAGAAAAAGCAAGCATCAGAACCAGACATGAAAGGGATGTTGGAATTATCACACACAATTTAAAACAACTGTGATCAATATGCTAATGCTCTAATGGACATTGTAGACAGCATGCAGGAACAGATGGGCAATGTGAGCACAGAAATGGAAATCTGAAGAAAGAACCAAAAAGGAATGTTACAGGTAAAGAACACTGTAAGACATGAAGAATGCTTTCTGATAGACACGTATTGGGCACAACAGAGGGAAGAATCTCTGAGTTAGAGGATATATCAAGAGAGTCATCAAAAATCGAAAAGCAAAAGGAACAAAGACCGAAAAAAAACAAAAACAAAAAAACCAGAACACCTAAACTCTGTGGGACAAAAAAAGGTGTAAAATAGACATATGAAAAGAATAGAGGGGAAGAAAAGAAAACATATTTGAAACTATCAATAATGACTGAGAGTTTCCCCAAATTAATGTCAGACATCAAACCACAGATCCAAAAAGCTCCAAGAACACCAAGAAGGAAAAATGTCAAAAAAACCTACCTATACCTAAGCATATCACTTTAAAACTACAAATCAAAGATTTAAAAATCCTGAAAGAAGTCAGAGGAAAAAAACAGCTTACTTATTGAGGAGCAAATATAAGAATACATACGACTACTTAAGCATGCAAACAAGAAGAAAGTAAAGTGAAATATTTAAAATGTTGAGGGGAAAAAAAACCCTAGAGACCTAGAATTCTATATCCTACAAATCGTCTTTCAAAAGAGAAAGAAATAAACAGTTTCTCAGACAAAAAAAGGGGGGAAGGATTTGTTGGCAGTGCACCAGCCTTGCAAGATATTTTAAAAGAAGTTCTTTAGAGGGAAGTAAAATAATAGACATCAAAACTCAGATCTACATAAAGAAAAGTATCAAAGAAGGAAGAGACATGATGTGATGAGCACTGGGTGTTATACATAACTAATGAATCACTGAACACTACACACCTTAAACTAATGATGTACTATATGTTGACTAACTGAACTTAACAAAAAAAAATGTTAAAAAGAAGGAATAGGTGAATGTTATTTTAAAACTTTTATTTTTCTTATCCTTAACTAATCAAACAGATAACAGTACAATACCCTCTACTTCAGTGTGGCAAAGACTTAAGAAATTTGATGAGATTTTTCCTTCCACAATTAGGTGAAGGGTGAGGATTTTGCAGATGTGATTAAAGTCCTAAGTCAACTGAGTAAATCAAAATAAAGAGTACCCTTGGTGGGCCTGACTTAGGGGGAAGCCCTTAAAAAATTGGGAACTTCCTGAAGTAAAAGAAATTCTACTGCT